CCACCGTGTTGTCGGATGTAAAAATGTCCGTAATAGGCATAGAAATTGCAAACCATTTATATTGACGTTTGTAGGTGATATATACCAATGATAAAAGTCATACATATTATAATATATTATTCATAAATCCGTGACAATTTTCCGACCAAGAAAATTTCGAAAYGAGATTCGTTTGATGACACAAATTCCTTATCTGCTTTAGTGTAAGAATTCGTGACCAATTATAAATTGTAATTAGTTTACGTCTTTACGTCATTCCGCGTCTGCCAAACGTGCGTTTGGGTTTTTTCGCCACGCGATATATTTCGATACCTACAGTGCCTAACAATGATTATGGACCTACCTATGTAGGCTTATTGTGAAAGTAATTATCGTTTGTAGAGTTTGATCTCGATGTCTGAATGGCTGTTAAAAGACAGACGACAAACGAACACATTTTGTTCGATTGCTCCAATGATTCGGTGTGTACCCATGTAAATTATACGGCTGGAAATTTGATTGAATTTTTTTTTGTTTTTTGAAGGGGAAGGGCTAGCGTAGTGAAGCGTCCTTCGCTTTGATTATTATTTGTACAAGGTTCACGGACGTACATACAATTCCATTTGGGGGGGGGAGAGGGGGCTCAGCCTCCAATCACCTTTCCATCAGATGACCGCTTATAGTTTATCGCACAATATCATAATTCATAAACACAGGTGGTACGGGGTCGTCGGTTGATCGAAAAAAATGTAGGTATRGTAACACAATAATATTATCATTGTATATACCACTTCGGCAGTACACCACCGGGCCGGTGTTTTGTGTCCGTTGTATTACTGGTATTGTACAAGTATACCTTAGTACTATAATATTATTTAAAATATATATGTAGGTATTAAATATTTTATACACAATACGAATGATTCGCGAGCGCGTACTCGTTTCGCATCGACATCACGACACGCACGCCTAGCCATCACATCCGCTGTATTATATTAAGGTCGAAAAACCGAGGTCGATTGAACTCGGTGAGCGGTGGTCGTCATCACTCCGTCAGGTTCGGTAGTACGGTTCATGTTTAA